CGATTCAATGATGACTGCAGACAACCTAGAAAACGATGGGAAAAGGCTGAAAACGTTTTAATACTAATCCATCACCGACTCATCTCAACAACCTTAGAATATTAAGAGCAAAAGCTCATATGACGATGAAAGGAACAAAACGTTCTTCCTGGCGTGCATTTGTTTCTAAAACAAGTACTCAAACGCCTCTTAATAAAGTGTGGAACATGATACAGAAAATGAAGGGCAAGTGATCTTGACACGGTGTGCATCATCTCAAGGTTCATGATACTATTCTGACAAGTAAACAAGACTCGTAAAGTAGTGAAAACAATAACATCTTGTTCTTCTTCTCCTAATTACACTCCTGACACTTCCCTGACACGCTGGAATATCATAATGAATCATTTTCTCTTGATGAACTCTCTGCAGCTCTTGATAAATCCCATGACACTGCAACTGGTCCTGATGAGAACCATTATCAATTATGGTATCATCTCTGTTGTCAGTGCTCCTTAGCATCCTTAACATATGGGAATGTGGAACATTCCCAGATTCCTGAACAAAACAGGAGGCACGGGTGATATAAACGAGGCATACGCGATTCGCTGTGCAGAGTTGCATCCCTTGGACACGCCAGAAAACTATGATTGTGGGTTCGAATCCCGGTTCGCCCCGATCATGTTTCTAGGTTTGTCAGCACCATACTCGTGCTCGTGGGTTTCTCCGAAGTGGTAAACGTCAGAGACCTGCATCACTTCGGTCTTTCCTCCAACAATAAGCTGACAAGAAGTGATATAACTGGAATACTGTTAAAAGCGGCGTTAAACCTAACTCACTCACTCACTGGCACAAAACAATCATCATCCAATTCCTAAGCCAGGTAAAGTTCATACGAAGCCAACAAATTACTGTCCAAATGCCTTGACTAGCTGTGTTTGTAAAACATTGGAAAGAATGATTAGCAATAGACGTGTTTGGCATCTTGAATAACAGATATCCAATGTGGATTCCGGCGTCACAGTTGTACAGTTGATCATCTTGTACGACTTGAGTAATTTGTTTATTAATAAACAACCTGCAGTTTTTTATATTCTTTTTTTTAGAGAAGACCTATGATACCACTTGGAAATATGGTATATTGAATGACCTTTATACAATGGGATTCCGTGGGCGCATGCCTGCTTTTATTTCCCGATTCCTTGACACTAGACAATTCCCCGTTCGTGTAGGATCGGCTTTGTCAGATATTTATTGATAGGCATTCGTTAGAAGTTGAGGGATGACAAAGACGACACAATTTATGGATAACAACTTTAATACTGTAAAAAGCGACGTTTCGGCATAGATCCTTATACACTTGTCAAGCAAGACCGTCAGTCATTTTTGAAAGAAGGCCATCTCTATGACAAGATATAGGATTGAACCCAAATAGTTAGTTTTCTATTTTTCTGTGATATATGACTGATATTTTATATGATCCTTGACATAATACTTTTACTATGTTCTTAATATGTACATGTTTGAAAATCTGTTGCACATACGTATTTTAATAACATAACAGCTACAAGCATATCTGCAGAAAAGGGCATTTTGTAACATATTGTAAAATTAGCTTTTAATGTGACCTTGGCCCTATACGCAGGTGATTCGTGGCCTTTCACGATCTGGACCCTACCCTTAGTGATCACATGTACCAAGTTCCATTGACTGTACAGAAATACTTCCTCGAGTTAGGCAGTAAAAAATTGTTTTTCAGGCTTGGACATTGTGCTATAAACGAGATACTATTTACATGGTGCTGCTTAATGAAACAAGTCGTGGTCCATTTTAAACCAATTCGTGTCATTCTGGGAAAAGCCGGTAATTAATACGGGAAGAGGCGAATGGTGGCGGCCCTACTGGCCTTTCATAGACAACAGAGGAAAACGGAAGCACGACATGACTGGCTGACTCACAGGCAAGTCCAGCCACGTGCTCAGTCTAAATATAATTACACGTCACTGAATCTAACTACTGAATGTACTACGTCACATTTCCTTGAGACTGTTCAGAGGATGTAGTCTTCTACCCATAAGACAAATGGCGGAAACAGATCTTGTCCAAGGTCAGTTCTCAACAGTGAGAAAGGGTAAAAAAGGTAGTAAAACGGTTCTTGAAAAAAACCTTGTGTGTTCACGAAGATGTGTAGCCACCGAAAGGGACATACTACAAAAATGTGCAGAATCGAAAAACATTGTAAAGATGATTGGTGATATCCATGTTACTACAGAAGACTTCACATTGTCCTTTGAATATTGCGAGATGGGCAACCTGGACCAGTATGTGAGTAAACGTTTAACCATGAAGAGTCCTCTAGGCGAGGTCGACTGTCTTTATGTCATGGCCAACATTGCCAGTGGTTTACAGTTTCTTCATAACATTGGTATCATACACGGAAATATACAGCCGGAAAACATCCTAGTGACACGGTACGATGAACCGAGTTATAAAATAGGAGGATTTGGATCGGCAGCTCGTCGCCCGACGCAGGAACACGTCAGGGAAGATGGGTAACATGACGGGGGACAATTCGGGGAACGTGACGGAGAGCGCGACGGAGAGCATGGCGGGGAGCGTGACGGAGAGCGTGACGGAGAGCATGGCGGGGAGCGTGACGGAGAGCGTGACGGAGAGCATGGCGAGGAGCGTGACGGAGAGCGTGACGGAGAGCGTGACGGAGAGCTCAACGGAGAGCGTGACGGAGAGCATGGTCGGGAGCGCGACGGAGAGCGTGACGGAGAGCATGTCGGGGAGCGTGACGGAGAGCGTGACGGGGAGCGTGACGGAGAGCATGGCGGGGAGCGCGACGGAGAGCGTGACGGAGAGCGTGACGGAGAGCGCGACGGAGAGCGTGGCGGGGAGCGTGACGGGGACGTTGGGACCAGAAACACTATTTTTTCACCCCCTGAAGGGGCTCTGGACAAGAAAAGTGATATTTTCTCCCTTGGAGCTGTCACCTATGCTTTATGGAGTCCGCAATTTGTCAACGACAAACTAGTTGCCTACTATGGTGGACGTCATCTGGCCGAGATGGCAGGGGAAATAGACCTCCGTCACATCACTGACCAGAGACTGCGAGACATCATCAATGAAGCCTTAAAAGGAGATATAGTTGGACGCCCAACAGCAGAACAAGTTTGGGAAAGGCTGAATAGAGATTACTTGAATGCTATTCGGAAAAGAGAGGCTTGTGAAAGCTTTGGGTTGGGTTTCGTTTTGGGTTGTTTTGGTGTTGGTGGTCTTACTCTATTACTGGGGGACACGGGTGGCCCAGTCGTCTAAGGCGCCGCGATTCGCTGTGCAGAGTTGCGTCCCCTGGACACGCCAGACACCTATGATTGTGGGTTCGAATCCCGGTTCACCCCGATTATGTTTCTAGGTTTGTCAGCACCATACCCGTGCTCGTGGGTTTCACCGAAGTGGTAAACGTCTGAGACCTGCATCACTTCGGGCTTTCCTCCCACATTAAGCTGACACGCCGTGATATAACTGGAATACTGTTAAAAGCGGCGTTAAATCCAACTCACTTACACAAATATATTCAATACAGCCCATGTAAGTCTATAACGTTGGCAAGTCTAGATTACTGCAGTTTAAGGTATCTACGAAATGAAGAGAGTCTCTAGGTTCATTTTTATTATATTTTTATTAAGATATTTTAACAACTGTTGTTTTACTGTAAGATATGTTCATTTCAGAGACTAGATGTTAGTCTAGTAGCATCGCTATAGTGATTAACAACACGTGCTTGATTACGATATAGGCGGAATAGAACAATGGACGCTGATTTTAGCAGAGATTCCTTGTGATTATGGAAATGTTTTTGTCGCGACGTTCTGTATTAACTCATTCAATTGTTATGACTATCGCACCTACTTCTGTGTATTTCGGTTAACTGAGCCTATGGTTGGTGTCCTGAATCAGTTGCTATGACTGTCGACCGCCTCCGTGGTCTAGTGGTAGTGCGTCCGCCCGGAGAGCGGAAGGTCCGGGGCTCGATCCCCGGCCGCGTCATACCAAAAGACGTTAAAAGATGGTACTTGTTGTTACCCTGTCTGGCGCTCGGCATTAAGGGGCTAAACCAAGTACTGGTCGGCTCGGAGTCAGTATACTGTGTCTGAGTGGGGTATTCACTGCGGCATGGTATCTCAGTGGGCTAGCCCTATATATCGGCATCAGTCCGGACTAGTACAAGCAGCCACACACACAAACACACGTACATGCACGTCGCTATATAAGTGCAATAATTTTGGACGCGACGTTAAACCCAATTTCACCTCATCTGCTATGACTGTCATGACTATTTTGAGATTTTACGTGCGCTTTCTGTCATTATGCCTATGTTCACACGTTGTTACTGTGGCCAGTTCCCTCCTTAATATAGCCTGTTGACAACGCGGGTTGGTGGTGATTCAGGCCCGAAATATACAGATGTGTGCCGGCTCAAGTCCGAGCTATAAGACTGAATGAACTCTGTAGGTAAAGAACTAAACTGTGAAATCAGTAAATGACCGATCAAGATCAATGAGCAATTAACAATTACATTCAACAGAGTTTTAGGTTTCCACTTAACAAAAGACAATTTTAATGGGTCTAATACAAACACACTAACCAATAATTACTGATAGGGTACAAAAGAATGTTCCGAATTGGAAGCTGCCAAGAATTCCTTGTTTTCAACTTGGTTTAACCGCCTCCGTTGTCTAGTGGTAGAGCGTCCGCCCGGAGAGCGTCATACCGGCTGCGTCATACCGAAAGACGTAAAAAGATGGTACTTGTTGTTACCCTGTCTGGTGCTCGGCATTAAGGGGCTAAAACAAGGACTGGTCGGCTCGGAGTCAGTATACTGTGTCTGAGTTGGGTATTCGTGTTAAACTGCAGCATGGTATCTCAGTGGGCTAGCACTATAAATCGGCATCAGTCCGGACTAGTACAAGCAGCCGCACGCACGCACGCACGCACGCACGCACGCACGCACGTCGCTATATAAGTGCAGTAATCTTGGACGCGACGTTTAAACCCAATGTCACCTCACCTCACTACATCTCAACTAGGTCTCCATTCTGTACTTTGCAACTTTGTTGTTTACGCCGCACTCTTCAATATTCCAGCTACATGACGCCGTCTGTAATTAATCGAGTCTGGACCAGACAATCCAGTGATTGATGTCATGAGCATCGATCCACGCAATTGGGACACGATGACATGAATTAACCAAATCAGCGAGCCTGACCACATGACCCGCTTAGTACATATCTGCACCAAATGGCATTTTAGTGTTAAGGTGAAAACGTACTGTAATATTGACTTTTTCTGTGAGCCTTTCAGGCTATGGCCTTTGGCTATAATGGAGATAATATTTACATGGTGCTACTTAATAAAACAAGTGTTTCATTCGTGACAAACTCGTGTTATTCCGGGACAAGCTACGGAAAGAGGCGAGTAGTGACGAACGATGGTAGTCCTGACGGGCTTAGGTAACAACAGGGGTTATCTGAACCACGACCTGACTGGCTGACTCACAGTCAGGCGTTCAGTCTAAATATAACTACGCGTCATTGCATCTAACTGTACTTCGTCGCATTTCCCTGAGACTGTTCAGAGGAGTCATATTCCAGGCATAGGAAAAATGAAGGAAACAGAGCTGGTTCAAGGTCGGTTCTCAACAGTGAGGTACTTTAACATAGGTAACAAAACGGTGCTTGAGAAAGCACTTTCGTGCCCACAACCTATTGCAGACGCCGAAGTAGTATAGTCTAAGTCCGCAGAAGGTAGTTTTGGTTGATCCGGTTGATCCAGGCGGATGCGAAGGTGATTGGCTGATCCAAGTCACGTGATCGGATAGGATGACTCATGCATCAACAGCGCGTCACAGGTGAGGGGGAATGAAAGGTGTGTGTTTATAAGACAGAAAAGAATTCATAAGAAAACAAAAGTAAAGGGTATTCAATAGAGCTATGTGTATAGCGTGCTGCCTTGAAGAGACAGACCGTACCCGTCAGCCCAGTTTGAATTAAGCGCGCTTAACAACTGACGTGGCCTCGTCGTTTAACCCGCGCTCGCTAGAGCGTGCGACCTGGTTTTGATGAATGCAGGGTGTGTGTTGAAAGTACAAGTACCACAATGGAGACGGGTTAAGTCAACACGATATACGTCGGGTAATGTAGGAAAAAAAACTGTACGTCTAGCTGGAACAGATCCATCTTATACGGTCTACACGTTGTACACCACGAACGTTAGACAACCTATATAGAAAAAAATACATAGAGACAAAATAGATAAGACTACGCAATCAGTAAGCTAGCAGTGTCGTTTAATTACATTTAGCGCGCAAGAACGAGGTAGTCACGTCACCCTGCATTGACTATAACGCTGAAGGCAGCCGGATTTCGAATCACCCCGCGCTGCGTACTATTATGAACCATTTGTATAGAGGGCGTTCACTTATTCAGCCCTATCCCGACTAGCGTAGTTGATGTTTCAACGCTAGCGTTTCCATTTAACGCGATGACAAATAAACCGTACGGTTTGAGTTTTAACCGTGTATCATGATGTGCACAGTTTTACTTCAGAACGTGCTATTTTGACAATTGATAGTTAGAACCATGTCTATGTTCAATAGAAAACTGATGAGTATATGTACCCGTGTGACGGCACGAAGCTAGGTTTGTTGGGAAAGTGATGGAAGCAATCTATAGGACATTTTCATGTTTACAATACTCACCCTTAATTCGAAGAGAGAACAGAGTTTATCATGGAAAAATGTTTCACGAGGAAAATGTTTTATTGGAAATATAGGTTTATTCATAGCTAATGTATAGCAGAGAGACTAAGCCACCGACCGCCCATAACAATGTCAACATACCCCGGCCTTACAATTAATGTCAACATACCAGCCTCGCCTGAAGCTTCCCATTCATAAATTGTGTGAGCAGTGTCCCGTATTTATGATACGTTAGGGAAGATGTGTTGTACATTTGTTATTTTAAAAGGGAGTTATTTCAGAGAGGATATATATGGGTATTCCCCCCTCATTAAACTTTTCTTTCGTTGGTGTCTATTAAACGTATCCGGTATTTAATACATTTGAATGATGTAGGAAAAGTATGTGCGTGAAGATGTTGTACCTATATCCGAACACGAATGTATGACACAGGAAGGGTGTGTGGAATGCACTCCTCCTCGTAAGGGTAAAATACGCGTTTAAACTCACCATTTAAATGATGATGACATTACTTTTTAGATGTATAATTGGTATCAGTGAGTGAGTGAATTTAGTTTTACGCCCCACTCGGCTTTATTCCAGCTCTAGGACGGTGGTCTGTCAATAAACGAGCTTGGACCAGACAATCCAGTGATCAACAGCATGAGCAGCGATCTGTGCAACTAGGAACCGATGGCACGTGTCATCCGAGTCGGCGAGACTGACCAACCGATCCCCGTCAGTCGCCGATAAGCATGGGTTACTGAAGGTCCATTCTATAACCCGGGACCTTCACGGGTGTAGTATGACGAAGACTATATACTAATATGCCAAAAAAATGAGAAAAAAACAAACAAACAATTCATTCGTATCATTTATTGATTCGAGCCAATCGGTTCCATACAAAGCCGTGATATACGAATGGACAATAGTATTCACTCTGGAACATTATTTAGTCACTCATATACACATGCTGCTGCTGCTCGAAGGCCCTATTGTTTAAATAGCGAGTCCATGTTTTGAAACACATTTCGCACTGTTGAATGTTTCCTTTTCTACGCTGTTTTAAGGTTGAATGGTTGTCTATAGTCTATGCTTTATCCATTGCTTGTAACGATTTCCGTCCAGGAGGTCCCAGTTTCACCATTCCTCTCACGTAGAGGGAAATTCGGCGTTTCTTATCGTTCAAACGCCTCAGTTTACGAGGTGTTTTCAAAATATGAATCAAACTAGACACGTGGCGTTGACTCGGCATTCTCTTCTGACTGTTAGACTGATATAGTAGTGATGGGTATTTATGCCTAATCGTTCTGCTCACGATCATCATCCTCCTCCTCGTCATCACCGTCGTTATCCTCTGCAACGCTATCAGATTCAGTCTCACTTTCTATTTCCGGCATATCCATCAAAGGCAGGATCTCTTTCATCTTGGGTTTTAGGAGGAGTTTTATTTTATTTTTGAGAACGGATTGTTCCGTGGAAGGATTCATGTCTCCCAGGTTGTATAGCATGTTTTGAAACAGAAGTGCCTCTTTAAAGTACGTGGTATATTCCATCGCATAGTTGAGAGTACTACGCACTAGATCCTCCCACCTCAGTTTCAATCTTCTCTCAATCCATTCTTGCGTTCGTCCCTGTCGCTTGTACTGTTTTTTCTGCAGTTTCATCTTGACATGAAACGTATCGTACACCTGCTTCCAGATGCGTTGTAAGCCTACATTTTGCCACTCCTCGGCTTCCATATTAGTGAATGTTGACTTCCCACGTGGAGGTTTGACGGCAAGACCACTGCCTTTCTGGGAAGAGGCTAGGTCGTCAAAGTCACTGTCATCGTCATCACTCTCGAGCCTGGCACGCTTTCTCTTAGGTTGAAGGCTATTGGCCGGACACCAGTGTTTGATATGTCGCTGTAGATCGTGCATGTTATCTATCAGCACCCCGCAATCTGCGCAAGCCGTGGCCATAGTCAATGATGTCTCACTACTCGTGTCTGAATCGGTTTCAATTGGCGTGAGCTGATGTTGGGGCAATCTCTCTTCTTGTGTCAGAGGACGATCCAGAGATTCTGTTGTAGTCAACTTCTCCCTACGCAGATCAGGTTCAGACTGTGCTGTTGTTCTCCTGTTTTCCTCATTTATGAGGTTAACATGCAGTCGATCCTTATCTTTGGTGGTAGGTTTTAGATCGATGGTGAGTTGTCCATAGGGTGTTTCAGTAACCTTTTCATACATAGCCATAAAGTGATCCATATGTTCGGGGAAAATTCTACGAGCGAAGAGTTTGATTTGCTGTTTATCTATGGGGGAATGAAACAGGGTCACATAATGCGCATTCAAAGCAATGTCTCTCGATTCCTTACCCCTCGGAAACAGATTTTGTATCAAGAGAAAGATCAATACATTCTTGTGATGTGAGGTTTGAGTAAACAACCGCGAAATACGCTTGTCGTGCTTTGCTTCGGCCAGGAAATCATCCAGGACCAACACGTTCTGTTGACGAGCATCAAAGTAATCCTCGTCCAAGATATCGTAGGGAATTCCTTTGACAAAGGTCAGCTGAGGCAGCTGCTCACCGAGGTCCTTATATAATGGCTGCCATTGAGTATAACACCAAACGATGCGGGTAGGTTGGGGTTGGATCAGGCCATGCCGGAGAACATGAGAGGTAAACACAGACTTTCCACAACCACTGGGTCCCACAACGAGCGCATTTGAGGGAATCAGGAACTTGAATTGTTCTCGAAGATCAGATATGCATGGTAAGTGAGGCAGCCACGAGTGGACTTGCGATGGCGGCGGCGGCGGCGGATGGGCTTGTAACGGCGGGTTGGCTTGACGCAGCGGCGGCGGTGGGTGGACTTGCGGCGGCGGCGGCGTTAGCGGGTGGGCTTGTAATGGCGGGTGGATTTGCGGCGGCGGCGGTAGCGGATGGGCTTGCGGCGGCGGCGTTAGCGGGTGGGCTTGTAATGGCGAGTGGACTTGCGGCGGCGGGTGGGCTTGTAACGGCGGCGGCGGTATGCTATGTTTATTTCTCCTGTGTCGTAACATGACATCTCTCCTTGAAAACATTTTTTCACAGTCCGGACAGGTGGCAACCCCCATGGTGATCCAATACGGTGTGCGATTAGAGGGTATGAAGCTTTCTTTTATACCCTTGACTCTGTTGACGCTTCAAGGCAGCAATTGCCCGTTCCACCACAGCCTTCACCTCCGACACATGTTGTATTTTCACGGGTTGGGGTGTTGTCTTCGATCCCTGTTGGGTTGTCATCGTTTTCATTTTAGGTGTTACCTGTCTCTTCTTTGTCTTCAGCGTCGACTTCTTGGCTGCTTGTGGTTTCTTTCTCTGTTGTGATTTTCTCAACGTAGTCTTCCTAAATATATCTCTAGGGTCAAGTCTAATCTCTGATGCTTTCTTCATGTTGTTCACGTCCAATCCGTTTGCTGGCGAGAGTAAAACTGTTTGTCGGGCTACACTACTGTAGAGTTTATACTGTCTTACACGTGCAGGGATTCTTGGAAGACACTCTTTTCTTCACAGCACACTTGTGAGTATGTTAAAAAAGCGATCATATTAGTATATAGTCTTCGTCATACTACACCCGTGAAGGTCCCGGGTTATAAAAATCGACCTTCAGTAACCCATGCTTATCGGCGACTGACGGGGATCGGTTGGTCCGACTCGGATGGCACGTGCCGTCGGTTCCTAGTTGCACAGATCGCTGCTCATGCTGTTGATCACTGGATTGTCTGGTCCAAGCTCGTTTATTGACAGACCACCGTCCTAGAGCTGGAATAAAGCCGAGTGGGGCGTAAAACTAAATTCACTCACTCACTGATACCAATTATACATCTAAAAAGTAATGTCATCATCATTTAAATGGTGAGTTTAAACGCGTATTTTACCCTTACAAGGAGGAGTGCATTCCACACACCCTTCCTGTGTCATACATTCGTGTTCGGATATAGGTACAACATCTTCACGCACATACTTTTCCTACATCATTCAAATGTATTAAATACCGGATACGTTTAATAGACACCAACGAAAGAAAAGTTTAATGAGGGGGGAATACCCATATATATCCTCTCTGAAATAACTCCCTTTTAAAATAACAAATGTACAACACATCTTCCCTAACGTATCATAAATACGGGACACTGCTCACACAATTTATGAATGGGAAGCTTCAGGCGAGGCTGGTATGTTGACATTAATTGTAAGGCCGGGGTATGTTGACATTGTTATGGGCGGTCGGTGGCTTAGTCTCTCTGCTATACATTAGCTATGAATAAACCTATATTTCCAATAAAACATTTTCCTCGTGAAACATTTTTCCATGATAAACTCTGTTCTCTCTTCGAATTAAGGGTGAGTATTGTAAACATGAAAATGTCCTATAGATTGCTTCCATCACTTTCCCAACAAACCTAGCTTCGTGCCGTCACACGGGTACATATACTCATCAGTTTTCTATTGAACATAGACATGGTTCTAACTATCAATTGTCAAAATAGCACGTTCTGAAGTAAAACTGTGCACATCATGATACACGGTAAAAACTCAAACCGTACGGTTTATTTGTCATCGCGTTAAATGGAAACGCTAGCGTTGAAACATCAACTACGCTAGTCGGGATAGGGCTGAATAAGTGAACGCCCTCTATACAAATGGTTCATAATAGTACGCAGCGCGGGGTGATTCGAAATCCGGCTGCCTTCAGCGTTATAGTCAATGCAGGGTGACGTGACTACCTCGTTCTTGCGCGCTAAATGTAATTAAACGACACTGCTAGCTTACTGATTGCGTAGTCTTATCTATTTTGTCTCTATGTATTTTTTTCTATATAGGTTGTCTAACGTTCGTGGTGTACAACGTGTAGACCGTATAAGATGGATCTGTTCCAGCTAGACGTACAGTTTTTTTTCCTACATTACCCGACGTATATCGTGTTGACTTAACCCGTCTCCATTGTGGTACTTGTACTTTCAACACACACCCTGCATTCATCAAAACCAGGTCGCACGCTCTAGCGAGCGCGGGTTAAACGACGAGGCCACGTCAGTTGTTAAGCGCGCTTAATTCAAACTGGGCTGACGGGTACGGTCTGTCTATTCAAGGCAGCACGCTATACACATAGCTCTATTGAATACCCTTTACTTTTGTTTTCTTATGAATTCTTTTCTGTCTTATAAACACACACCTTTCATTCCCCCTCACCTGTGACGCGCTGTTGATGCATGAGTCATCCTATCCGATCACGTGACTTGGATCAGCCAATCACCTTCGCATCCGCCTGGATCAACCGGATCAACCAAAACTACCTTCTGCGGACTTAGACTATACTACTCGCCGAAAAGCACATACTCCAACAGTGCGCAGAATCTGAAGGGGCCAAAAACATTGTCAAGATTTATAACGCTTTTCCTGCAAAAGGCGTCACAATGTTCTTGGAATATTGCGAGGAAGGCAACCTGAACCAATATGTGAGTAAACGTTTATTCATGAAGAAACATCTGAATGCAGCCGACTGTCGTTCTTTCATGACCGACATTGCCAGTGGTTTGCAGTTTCTTCACAACATTGATATCATACACGCCAACCTACTGCCAGAAAACATCCTTGTGACGTCATGCAGTAAACCTGTTTATAAAATAGGAGGATTTGGATCGGCAGCTGGTCGCCAGGCCGGGAGAAATAACAGGAGAGATGAGGAACATGGCGGGTTAGATGGGACTGAAGACGCTTGTTTTTTGCCCCCTGAAGAGGCTCTGGACAAGAAAAGTGATATTTTCTCCCTTGGAGCTGTCACCTATGCTTTATGGAGTCCGCAATTTGTCGACGACAAACTAGTTGCCTACTATGGTGGACGTCGTCTGGCCAAGATGGCAGGGAAAATAGACCTCGGTCACATCACTGACCAGGGACTGCGAGACATCATCAATGAAGCCTTAAAAGCAGATATAGCTGGACGCCCAACAGCAGAAGAGGTTTGTTCAATGCTGAATACAGGTTACTCGTGGTGGAAGATTCTGATTTGTGGCGGCGTTGTAGCTGGTGTCTCGATTTACGGATACACGTATTTCAGAAATAACACTTAAACAATGGCGACACGTTGATATAATTAACACTATCTGTCGCTCGCCATTAAGGCGCTAAAACAAAGACTAGTGGGCTCGTAATCAGTAAACGGTGTCTGAGAGAGGTATTCATGTTAAACTGCGGCATGGTATCTCAGTGACATGGCACTATTAATCGGCATCAATCCGGACTAATACAAGCAGACACACACACACACACACACACACACACACACACACACACACACACACACACACACAGACACACACACAGACACACACACACAGACACACACACACACACACACACACACACAGTGCAATAATCATGGGCGCGACGTTAAACCCAATTTCACCTCACCTCACATCACATGTCATGATACTGAATAGAATCAGACTGAGGAAAATGTTGACGCATTAAACTGATAGACTTGTCAGTGCATAGGAAAATGCACAATTCATTAGACGAGGTAGAAAACGTGTTGGCTATAATCAAGTGTGTTGAATTCCCTCATACCGCCCGGAAGTAAATCAACCAGGACATTCAGTATTTATTCTATGCAATATATCCTGACTCAGGTCAGGTACAAAGTTTCCTAGCACATTATATTTGGCAGTGATCGGCTTGTTATCGACAAGGAAGGAAATTACGTACAACGCCCAAATGCCTAACTGTAGACGAATACATCACGTTCATATTGCCTAACTTTCCACGCGGCGAGGGTAACTTTAACCCCAATGGTCTAACTGTAGATTGTATATTCCAATGAACAAATCTGACACACCGCTGCTTGATGTGTGAAGAGAAAATGCTTTTGGCGTGGTAGTTGACTGCATAGCATTGACGCAAACGGTATTTAATGGTGTTTCCTGAAAATTGTACCTGAATCGTTTGATCATATTTATCCTTTAGTATGTTCTTGCATTTGTGATATGACATTTGAAGGAACAAAATGTTTCAGGTATTATGTTTTATTCAGTTTTACATGTACATTATTTTCAGTACAGTATTGCAATCAAAACCCTCTGACTCACCCCACCATGTAATAAAAGGTATAAAAGGTATCTTTTACGTCAATTTTTTTTTGTCTCTCCTTGTTCATTTGAATACAGCAATTTACCAGAGGTTAAAACATCTTTCCTTCTTTATATAATGATCCTAGTCACATTTGTATAAGGTTCACATCAGCAAGAGCAAAAATAGCCCTAATTAACATAACAATATGTTCGCTTGAAATTCAGGGAGTTCCATTTGAGGTCAACTGATAAATAATTTATTGATCTATGAGGAAACTTAATTTCTATGAAGAACAGTCTGAATTGAAGGTGTTGGCCCGGAGCTCCAAATTTGATATTTAGGAGGAAAACTCCTCTTGCGCTGAAGAAAAGCGAGTGACTGTTGATAATGTTCAGTTTTAACTGATTTACATTACTTTTCAAGCTTCTTGTGTATGTTGAACGTGGGTAAGTTGACGCGAGAGTGAACGACTGCTATGAAAATGTAACAAATGGAGTAAACATGATATTTTGTTGATACACGGAGATGTCTGCTAATATTGGTTAATATTATCACATTCTGTTATGTACTGGTATTAGTATAGACACATAAGAAACATAAACATGGAATGAACTATAGGTTCCTCGTCGTACTGTTGGTGGTACGTGGGCTGGTCAAATGTTCTGATCCTAACAAACAAAACGATTAATTGTGAAAATGTTTTTATTTCATTTTTCAACATAATCTCCCTGCTTTTTAATACACTTCTTATTCGATAGTGAAGCTTTTAAATCTTGTCAGGAAGACGTTTTCTGAAGTAAACCAGAAAAACCTCGACGCTTTTCTTTGATAGAATCTCTCAGGCGATGATACAAATTAGTATGTAGTAGTTACCGGTAATCTTCTTTGGGTTTTCTATGTAATCAACAAGGATCACACCCTTTGCATCCGAGAATACAGTGGCCATAACTTCCTTCACTGATCTTGAAGACTTGAATTTCATAGCGGTAGACCCATGTTTCATCACCCGTTACTAATCTCTTTTGAATTTGACGAAATCCTCCTCAATTAGCTCTAATTTTCGCTGGCAATGTCAGTTCTATTTTCCTTAAGATCAGAATTTAGAAACCTTGGCACCCAACGAGCAGATATCTTTTTCATCTGTAAATGTTCATGAATAATAGTTTCAATGGATCCATGGCTTAGACCTGTGTCTTCCTCGAGTTCAGCAATGGTAATACGTCTATCTGACTATACGTTTTTCTATCTCCTTGATTGACTCTTCATTGATAGAAGTTGAAGGAACCCCAGACCTTGGGCCATCGTCAAGGCTTGTCATCATCTCCCAACCTTATACATTGCTGCCCAACGGTTCACAGTAGAATAGCTAGGGCACTTATCCCCATACACCTGTGACATGCGGTCATGAATTTCCATCTTCCCGAGGCAAGGGAGTTAACTGACCATAATAGTCCAGTTTCCACCCTTGCCGAACTAGGCTGGAATTCCTGGGCTCGACCGTAGCGCCACCAGTGGTTATTACGAGTTATGTTGGATCTATGGACCAATCAGATTCCAGCTCTCGTGTCTCTTGCATTTGTTTCAAACAAAATGGTGGCGCCCAGTCAAAACGATCTGATTTATAATCAAGATCTATATTGTGATAAAACGTGTCTTACATAGCGAAGTGCATCAAATCACATGAGCACCTTGATTAAAAACATGAAAAGACTTGAAAAATATCTGTTGACAACGAGTTGGCGGTGCACATGTTTTGCAAATCATGCAATCGACAGAAATCTGCACAACATTTTACAAACCGGATTTCGATTTCGGTGCGGGATATTGATTGGACTATGCATAGACTTGTTAGCCCAGCCAAAATGTAACTCCATAATACCAGCCTAGTTCGGCAAGGGTGGAAACTGGACTTTTATAGTCAGTTAACACACTTGCCTCGGGAAGATGTGAATTTCTTGGGGAGTACTTTTCTCTAAAGTCAAAAACTTGATGACTGCTCGGTACCCGTTCTTTTCCATTTCGGTGTCCGTTTGGACTCCATCGCGTTCAACTGGCTGTCACTAACAAATACACGCCCTCAACAGACCAAATACACTTGCAATGAACTACTCAAACAATGTACTACATTGACTTGTTCACTTTGTCATGGCCCATAGATGAAAGTTAGTCAGGCTTAGAGCTTTTTGACCAGCCCTCGTATCAAGCAATGTTTTCATTGCTGATGCCCAATTCTTATCAACCAGCATAAGAATTCGTATGTTTATTTGCTTGATTCTATATCATGGTTGTATGTATGTCAATGTATTTAGTTAGTCGTATTGTACATTATTAAAGAATAAAAGAGGTCCACAGCAAATCAAATTCAAAATCCATGTCCATCTGTAATAATTATTGCTCATCAATTAGACAATGTTTGCAAACAATTCATTTTTTATTCACTCATATCGGTTGTCCACTGTACATCATTCACAACCCTTATTGAGGGCGTGAGGGCATGTCCTTTGTCACGACCGAAACGTATATTACATGCAGTATACCGTTTATCAAGTGCAATATCTAGTATACCGGGGGCACGGGTGGCCCAGTCGTCCAAGGCGCCGCGATTCGCTGTGCAGAGTTGAGTCCCTTGGGCATGCCAGAAAACTATGATTGTGGGTTCGAATCCCGGTTCGCCCCGATTATGTTTCTAGGTTTGTCAGCACCATACCCGTGCTCTTGGATTTCACCAAAGTGGTAAACGTCAGAGACCTGCATCACTTCGGGCTTTCCTCCCACATAAAGCTGACATGCCGTGATATAACTGGAATACTGTTGAAAGCGGCGTTAAACCCAACTCACTCACCCACTCCAGTATACCACATGTACTATAAGAGTGTGTCGCATGCAGTGTGCGCCGGGCGATATATCGCTGAACAGAAACAGATGAAGGGAGATGCATGTAAACGAGCGCAAGTTGGGCAGTTTGGAACTGGGAGTTGAGCACCCGCGCCGGTGAAGAGCTCACAATAAAACATTGTTGACCCGCAGACGGACTTGTGTTATCAAGACGTATCCGGAGCAACATTCCAGCAGATACAGCATGATAATACGTCCCCGGAGCAATATTGCAGCAGATACAGCATGATAACACGTATCCGGAGCCATATTCCAGCAGCTACAGCATGATAACACGTACCGGGAGCGATATTCCAGCAGCTACAGCATGATAACACGTACCCGGAGCAATCTCCCAGCAGCTACAACATGATAACACGTACCCGGGGCGATATTCCAGCAGCTACAGCATGATAACACGTACCCGGAGCAATATTGCAGCAGCTACAGCATGATAACACGTACCCGGGGCGATATTCCAGCAGCTACAGCATGATAACACGTACCCGGAGCAATCTCCCAGCAGCTACAACATGATAACACGTACCCGGAGCGATATTCCAGCAGCTACAGCATGATAACACGTACCCGGAGCGATATTCCAGCAGCTACAGCATGATAACACGTTTCCGGAGCGATATTCCAGCAGCTAAAGCATGATAACACGTTTCCGAAGCGATATTCCAGCAGCTACAGCATGATAACACGTACCCGGAGCGATATTGCAGCAGCTACAGCATGATAACACGTACCCGGAGCGATATTCCAGCAGCTACAGCATGATAACACGTACCCGGAGCAACATTCCAGCAGCTACAGCATGATAACACGTACCCGGGGCGATATTCTAGCAGCTACAGCATGATAACACGTACCCGGAGCAATATTGCAGCAGCTACAGCATGATAACACGTACCCGGGGCGATATTCCAGCAGCTACAACATGATAACACGTACCCGGAGCAATATTGCAGCAGCTACAGCATGATAACACGTACCCGGAGCGATATTCCAGCAGCTACAGCATGATAACACGTACCCGGAGCAACATTCCAGCAGCTACAGCATGATAACACGTACCCGGAGCGATATTCCAGCAGCTACAGCATGATAACACGTTTCCGGAGCGATATTCCAGCAGCTACAGCATGACAACACGTTTCCGGAGCGATATTCCAGCAGCTACAGCATGATAACACGTACCCGGAGCGATATTCCAGCAGCTACAGCATGAAAACACGTACCCGGAGCAACATTCCAGCAGCTACAGCATGATAACACGTACCCGGAGCGATATTCCAGCAGCTACAGCATGATAACACGTACCCGGAGCGATATTCCAGCAGCTACAGCATGATAACACGTTTCCGGAGCGATATTCCAGCAGCTACAGCATGATAACTCGTTTCCGAAGCGATATTCCAGCAGCTACAGCATGATAACACGTACCCGGAGCCATATTCCAGCAGCTACAGCATGATAATACGTACCCGGAGCAATATTCCAGCAGTTACAGCATGATAACACGTACCCGGAGCAATATTGCAGCAGCCACAGCATAATAACACGTACCCGGAGCGATATTCCAGCAGCTACAGCATGATAACACGTACCCGGAGCCATATTCCAGCAGCTACAGCATGATAACACGTACCCGGAGCGATATTCCAGCAGCTACAGCATGATAACACGTACCCGGAGCAACATTCCAGCAGCTACAGCATGATAACACGTACCCGGAGCGATATTCCAGCAGCTACAGCATGATAACACGTACCCGGAGCGATATTCCAGCAGCTACAGCATGATAACACGTTTCCGAAGCGATATTGCAGCAGCTACAGCATGATAACACGTTTCCGGAGCGATATTCCAGCAGCTACAGCATGATAACACGTACCCGGAGCGACATTCAAGCAGCTACAGCATGATAACACGTACCCGGAGCAACATTCCAGCAGCTACAGCATGATAACACGTACCCGGGGCGATATTCCAGCAGCTACAGCATGATAACACGTACCCGGAGCAATATTGCAGCAGCTACAGCATGATAACACGTACCCGGGGCGATATTCCAGCAGCTACAGCATGATAACACGTACCCGGAGCAATATTCCAGCAGCTACAGCATGATAACACGTACCCGGAGCGATATTCCAGCAGCTACAGCATGATAACACGTACCCGGAGCAACATTCCAGCAGCTACAGCATGATAACACGTAGCCGGAGCGATATTCCAGCAGCTACAGCATGATAACACGTTTCCGGAGCGATATTCCAGCAGCTACAGCATGACAACACGTTTCCGGAGCGATATTCCAGCAGCTACAGCATGATAACACGTACCCGGAGCGATATTCCAGCAGCTACAGCATGATAACACGTACCCGGAGCAACATTCCAGCAGCTACAGCATGATAACACGTACCCGGAGCGATATTCCAGCAGCTACAGCATGATAACACGTAGCCGGAGCGATATTCCAGCAGCTACAGCATGATAACACGTTTCCGGAGTGATATTCCAGCAGCTACAGCATGATAAGACGTTTCCGGAGCGATATTCCAGCAGCTACAGCATGATAACACGTACCCGGAGCCATATTCCAGCAGCTACAGCATGATAACACGTACCCGGAGCAATATTCCAGCAGCTACAGCATGATAACACGTACCCGGAGCAATATTGCAGCAGCCACAGCATAATAACACGTACCCGGAGCGATATTCCAGCAGCTACAGCATGATAACACGTACCCGGAGCCATATTCCAGCAGCTACAGCATGATAACACGTACCCGGAGCGATATTCCAGCAGGTACTGCATTTGTGGTCCGAGCATGCCCTTTCTATGTAGATTTTAAACAGCGTCGTAAGACTCTTGGCCAAAAGTTGTTTGATCAGGGTTACAACATAGAAGGCCTTAATAGGGAAGTTTTATGGTTTACATGTGAACGTTTGATTTGCCCTTGCGTGTGTTTGTGACGGGTTGCCACCGATAGGACAGGATACGCTCGCCTTATCGAGTGAGTGAGTGAGTGAGTGAGTGAGTGAGTGAGTGACGAGCGAAAGCTTTAATCACTGGGCTACCCGACCGCCCCACCTTATCGAGTTTTCCTGGTAGCATCATATACTGTCATACATACCCTGATACAAATAAGGGGACACGGGTGGCCCAGTCGTCTAAGGCACCGCGATTCGCTGTGCAGAGTTGCGTCCCTTGGGCACACCAGAAACCTATGATTGTGGGTTTGTTTCTGGCTTTACTCCCTCATTAAGCTGACACGCCGTGATATAACTGGAATACTATTAAAAGCCTCGTTAAATCCAACTCACTGATACAAATATATTCAATACAGCCCATGTAAGTCTATAATGTTTGGCAAGTCTAGATTACTGCAGTATCAGGTATCTAGAAATGACGTCTTTAAATGAAGTTCATTTTTATTAAGATAATTTAACAACTATTGTTTTCTGTGGGATACGTTCATTTCAGAAACTAGATGTTAGTCTAGTAGCATCGCTATAGTGATTAACAACACGTGCTGGATTACGATATAGTCGGAATAGAACAATGGACTCCGATTTTAGCAGAGATTCCTTGTGATTATGGAAATGTTTTTTGTCGTGACGTTCTGTATTAACTCATTCAATTGTTGTGACTATCGCACCTACTTCTGTGTATTTCGGTTAACTTAGCCCATGGTTGGTGTCCTGAATCAGTTGCTATGACTGTCGACCGCCTCCGTGGTCTAGTGGTAGAGCGTCCGCCCGGAGAGCGGAAGGTCCGGGGCTCGATCCCCGGCCGCGTCATACCAAAAGACGTTAAAAGATGGTACTTGTTGTTACCCTGTCTGTCGCTCGGCATTAAGGGGCTAAAACAAGTACTGGTCGGCTCGGAGTCAGTATACTGTGTCTGAGTGGGGTATTCATGTTAAACTGGTATGGTATCTCAGTGGGCTAGCCCTATATATCGGCATCAGTCCGGACTAGTACAAGCAGCCACACACACAAACACACGTACATGCACGTCGCTATATAAGTGCAATAATCTTGGACGCGACGTTAAACCCAATTTCACCTCACCTGCTATGACTGTCATGACTATTTTGAGATTTTACGTGCGCTTTCTGTCATTATGCCTATGTTCACACGTTGTTACTGTGGCCAGTCCCCTCCTTAATATAGCCTGTTGAAAACGCGGGTTGGTGGTGATTCAGGCCCGAAATATACAGATGTGTGCCGACTCAAGGCCGAGCTATAAGACTGAATGAAATCTGTAGGTAAAGAACTAAACTGTGAAATCAGTAAATGACCGATCAAGATCAATGAGCAATTAACAATTACATTCAACAGAGTTTTAGGTTTCCACTTAACAAAAGACAATATAATGGGTCTAATAAAAACATACTAACCGATAATTACTGATAGGGTACGACAGAATGTTCCGAATTGGAAGCTGCCAAGAATTCGTTGTTTTCAACTTGGTTTAACCGCCTCCGTTGTCTAGTGGTACAGCGTCCGCCCGGAGAGCGGAAGGTTCGGGTTTCAATCCCCGGCTGCGTGATACCGAAAGACGTTAAAAGATGGTACTTGTTGTTACCCTGTCTGGTGCTCGGCATTAAGGGGCTAAAACAAGGACTGGTCGGCTCGGAGTCAGTATACTGTGTCTGAGTTGGGTATTCATATTAAACTGTGGCATGGTATCTCAATGGGCTAGCACTATAAATCGGCATCAGTCCGGACTAGTACAAGCAGCAGACGCACGCACGCACGCAGTGATTGATGTCATGAGCATCGATCCACGCAATTGGGACACGATGACATGAATTAACCAAATCAGCGAGCCTGACCACATGACCCGCTGAGTACATATCTGCACCAAATGGCATTTTAGTGATAAGGTGAAAACGTACTGTAATATCGATTTTTTTGTGTGAGCTCTTTAGGCTATGGCCTTGGGCTATAATGGAGATAATATTAACATTGTGTTACTAAATATATCAAGTGATTCATTCGTGGCCAACTCGTGTTATTCCGGGACAAGCTACGGAGAGAGGCGAGTAGTGACGAACGATGTTAGTCCTGACGGGCTTAGGTAACAACAGGGGTTATCTGAACCACGACCTGACTGGCTGACTCACAGTCAGGTGTTCAGTCTAAATATAACTACGCGCCATTGAATCTAACTGTACTTCGTCGCATTTCCTTGAGATTATTCAGAGGAGTCATATTCCAGGCATACGAAAAATGAAGGAAACAGAGCTGGTTCAAGGTCGGTTCTCAACATTGAGGAACTTTAACATAGGTAACAAAATTGTGCTTGTGAAAGCATTTTCGTGTCCACAGCCGATTGCAGACGCCGAAAAGAATATACTCCGACAATGCGCAGAATCTGAAGGGGCCAAAAACATTGTCAAGATTTATGACGCTTTTCCTGCAAAAGGCGTCACAATGATCTTGGAATATTGCGAGGAAGGCAACCTGAACCAATATGTGAGTAAACGTTTATTCATGAAGAAACCTCCGAATGCAGCCGACTGTCGTTCTTTAATGACCGACATTGCCAGTGGTTTGCAGTTTCTTCACAACATTGATATCATACACGCCAACCTACTGCCAGAAAACATCCTTGTGACGTCATACAGTAAACCTGTTTATAAAATAGGAGGATTTGGATCGGCAGCTCGTCGCAAGGCCAGGAGAAATAACAGGAGAGTTGAGGAACATGGTGGGTTAGATGCGACTGAAGACTCTTGTTTTTTGCCCCCTGAAGGGGCTCTGGACAAGAAAAGTGATATTTTCTCCCTTGGAGCTGTCACCTATGCTTTATGGAGTCCGCAATTTGTCAACGACAAACTAGTTGCCTACTATGGTGGACGTCATCTGGCCAAGATGGCAGGGCAAATAGACCTCCGTCACATCACTGACCAGAGACTGCGAGACATCATCAATGAAGCCTTAAAAGGAGATATATTTGGACGCCCAACAGCAGAACAAGTTTGTTCAATGCTGAATACAGGTTACACGTGGTGGAATATTCTGATTTTTGGCGGCGTTGTAGCTGGTGTCTGCATATATTTCAGAAATAACACTGAAACAATGGGATATAATTTAAAAAAGAATTAAAGAGATCATTATCCCAATATATTTCTATGGATCAATATGAAGTGAAACTGTGGATATGTAGAGAGCCAGCTGTGGAGTCCACAATCCAACCAACCACCAACATTGTGAATGGGAGATCAGTTGACCACACTGTCTATCAATGGTGCCACGGAAACCACAATTCGGCCACTTTGTAGCTTTGTGAAAAGGATTCTGTCACATATTATAACTGTGATGTGTGGTTTAAATGAAGTTCATTTTTATTAAGATAATTTAACAACTATTGTTTTCTGTGGGATACGTTCATTTCAGAAACTAGATGTTAGTCTAGTAGCATCGCTATAGTGATTAACAACACGTGCTGGATTACGATATAGTCGGAATAGAACAATGGACTCCGATTTTAGCAGAGATTCCTTGTGATTATGGAAATGTTTTTTGTCGTGACGTTCTGTATTAACTCATTCAATTGTTGTGACTATCGCACCTACTTCTGTGTATTTCGGTTAACTTAGCCCATGGTTGGTGTCCTGAATCAGTTGCTATGACTGTCGACCGCCTCCGTGGTCTAGTGGTAGAGCGTCCGCCCGGAGAGCGGAAGGTCCGGGGCTCGATCCCCGGCCGCGTCATACCAAAAGACGTTAAAAGATGGTACTTGTTGTTACCCTGTCTGTCGCTCGGCATTAAGGGGCTAAAACAAGTACTGGTCGGCTCGGAGTCAGTATACTGTGTCTGAGTGGGGTATTCATGTTAAACTGGTATGGTATCTCAGTGGGCTAGCCCTATATATCGGCATCAGTCCGGACTAGTACAAGCAGCCACACACACAAACACACGTACATGCACGTCGCTATATAAGTGCAATAATCTTGGACGCGACGTTAAACCCAATTTCACCTCACCTGCTATGACTGTCATGACTATTTTGAGATTTTACGTGCGCTTTCTGTCATTATGCCTATGTTCACACGTTGTTACTGTGGCCAGTCCCCTCCTTAATATAGCCTGTTGAAAACGCGGGTTGGTGGTGATTCAGGCCCGAAATATACAGATGTGTGCCGACTCAAGGCCGAGCTATAAGACTGAATGAAATCTGTAGGTAAAGAACTAAACTGTGAAATCAGTAAATGACCGATCAAGATCAATGAGCAATTAACAATTACATTCAACAGAGTTTTAGGTTTCCACTTAACAAAAGACAATATAATGGGTCTAATAAAAACATACTAACCGATAATTACTGATAGGGTACGACAGAATGTTCCGAATTGGAAGCTGCCAAGAATTCGTTGTTTTCAACTTGGTTTAACCGCCTCCGTTGTCTAGTGGTACAGCGTCCGCCCGGAGAGCGGAAGGTTCGGGTTTCAATCCCCGGCTGCGTGATACCGAAAGACGTTAAAAGATGGTACTTGTTGTTACCCTGTCTGGTGCTCGGCATTAAGGGGCTAAAACAAGGACTGGTCGGCTCGGAGTCAGTATACTGTGTCTGAGTTGGGTATTCATATTAAACTGTGGCATGGTATCTCAATGGGCTAGCACTATAAATCGGCATCAGTCCGGACTAGTACAAGCAGCAGACGCACGCACGCACGCAGTGATTGATGTCATGAGCATCGATCCACGCAATTGGGACACGATGACATGAATTAACCAAATCAGCGAGCCTGACCACATGACCCGCTGAGTACATATCTGCACCAAATGGCATTTTAGTGATAAGGTGAAAACGTACTGTAATATCGATTTTTTTGTGTGAGCTCTTTAGGCTATGGCCTTGGGCTATAATGGAGATAATATTAACATTGTGTTACTAAATATATCAAGTGATTCATTCGTGGCCAACTCGTGTTATTCCGGGACAAGCTACGGAGAGAGGCGAGTAGTGACGAACGATGTTAGTCCTGACGGGCTTAGGTAACAACAGGGGTTATCTGAACCACGACCTGACTGGCTGACTCACAGTCAGGTGTTCAGTCTAAATATAACTACGCGCCATTGAATCTAACTGTACTTCGTCGCATTTCCTTGAGATTATTCAGAGGAGTCATATTCCAGGCATACGAAAAATGAAGGAAACAGAGCTGGTTCAAGGTCGGTTCTCAACATTGAGGAACTTTAACATAGGTAACAAAATTGTGCTTGTGAAAGCATTTTCGTGTCCACAGCCGATTGCAGACGCCGAAAAGAATATACTCCGACAATGCGCAGAATCTGAAGGGGCCAAAAACATTGTCAAGATTTATGACGCTTTTCCTGCAAAAGGCGTCACAATGATCTTGGAATATTGCGAGGAAGGCAACCTGAACCAATATGTGAGTAAACGTTTATTCATGAAGAAACCTCCGAATGCAGCCGACTGTCGTTCTTTAATGACTGACATTGCCAGTGGTTTGCAGTTTCTTCACAACATTGATATCATACACGCCAACCTACTGCCAGAAAACATCCTTGTGACGTCATACAGTAAACCTGTTTATAAAATAGGAGGATTTGGATCGGCAGCTCGTCGCAAGGCCAGGAGAAATAACAGGAGAGTTGAGGAACATGGTGGGTTAGATGCGACTGAAGACTCTTGTTTTTTGCCCCCTGAAGGGGCTCTGGACAAGAAAAGTGATATTTTCTCCCTTGGAGCTGTCACCTATGCTTTATGGAGTCCGCAATTTGTCAACGACAAACTAGTTGCCTACTATGGTGGACGTCATCTGGCCAAGATGGCAGGGCAAATAGACCTCCGTCACATCACTGACCAGAGACTGCGAGACATCATCAATGAAGCCTTAAAAGGAGATATATTTGGACGCCCAACAGCAGAACAAGTTTGTTCAATGCTGAATACAGGTTACACGTGGTGGAATATTCTGATTTTTGGCGGCGTTGTAGCTGGTGTCTGCATATATTTCAGAAATAACACTGAAACAATGGGATATAATTTAAAAAAGAATTAAAGAGATCATTATCCCAATATATTTCTATGGATCAATATGAAGTGAAACTGTGGATATGTAGAGAGCCAGCTGTGGAGTCCACAATCCAACCAACCACCAACATTGTGAATGGGAGATCAGTTGACCACACTGTCTATCAATGGTGCCACGGAAACCACAATTCGGCCACTTTGTAGCTTTGTGAAAAGGATTCTGTCACATATTATAACTGTGATGTGTGGTTTACGGCAAATCGATGTGAAGACCAACAACAAGTGCCCTTGGACTCCACCTTCCACAGCCACAAGCAACGGATGAACAACGACCCCTATATGCAAGTCCCGTGTCCGTGCGAAAACCAAAATAAGCAAAGGACCAAAAATAAAGCCAAGGACTCCATCAAAGGCCAAGACCATGACCAACTCCTCGTATCATAAGATTGTCAACACTCGTCGCTCATAAGTGTTAAGTATTCAAATAACAATCCTGCATTGCAAACATTCTGTAATATTGACCTTTACTGTGACATGACCTTATACACAGGTGATTCTGGCCCTTCTCGATTTGGATCCCACGCTAAGTAATTGACTGTACAGTAAATCCTCATCAAATTACGAGGTAATCAGTATTTTTCTATCAATGGCCTTGATAAACTGTTTACATGGTGCTGCTGAATACCACATGTCGTAGTTCATTCCGGGACAAGCTACGGAAAGAGGCGAGTAGTGACGAAGGATGGTCGTCCTGATTGCCTTGGGTAACAATAAGGGTTATCTGAATCACGACCTGACCTACTGACTCTCGGTCAGGTGTTCAGTCTAAATATAACTTCACGTCACCGAATCTAACTACTACGTCGCATTTCCTTGAGACTGTTCAGATCTAGAGGAGTTGTATTCCACGAATACGAATAATGGCGGGAACAGAACTTGTTCCTGGTCGGTTCTCAAGAGTGCGCAAGGAAAAGAAAGGTAACAAGATGGTTGTTGAGAAAGTACTTGTCTGCTCACAACGTCAAGCAGCCGCCGAAAAGGACATACTCCGACAATGTGCAGAATCTGAAGGGGCCAAGAACATTGTCAAGATGATTGGGGAAGGTTTTACTGAAGATTGCTTCACACTGACCTTTGAATATTGCGAGGAAGGCAGCCTGGACCAGTATGTGAGTAAACGTTTAACCATGAAGAGTCCTCTAGACGAGGCCGACTGTCGTTCTGTCGTAACCGACATTGGCAGTGGATTGGAGTTTCTTCGTAAAATTGGTATCATACACGGAAATATACAGCCGGAAAACATCCTTGTGACATGGGACTTTGGAACGCTTTATAAGATAAGAGGATTTGGGTCTGCTGCTCGTCGCCTGACGCGGGAACATGCCGGGGAAGAAGGGACAGGAGACACTTGTTTTTCACCCCCTGAAGCGGCTCTGACAGAGAAAAGCGATATTTTCTCTCTTGGAGCTATCGCCTTTGCTTTACTGCGTCAGGAATTTGACCACAACAAACTAGTTGCCTACTACACTGGACGCCGTCTGGCCGAGGTAAGAGGGGAAATAGAACTCCGTCATGTCGCTGACCAGGGACTGGGAGACGTGATCAAGGCAGCCTTACGGTGAGACATGTCCAAACGCCCAACAGCAGAACAAGTTTGTGAAATGCTGAAAACAGTTTACTCGGATTCTGTTTTGATGAAACTGGCTTATGGCTACCTTGCAATCTGTGCGATTGGTATTGGTGTTGGTAATGGTGTGTTCCTGCGTCGCCAGTGAAAAGGGGGCCTGTCTGCATTTATTCAAACAGATCACCGAGGAAATGACTTGAATTCTGAAGTAGTCTACATTGTCTCCTACAGTATCTATAGTTGCGCAAATAATTTTCATGCAGGAGATTACTTTGAACGAGTTTTGTCATAAATATATAGGAATATCCTTGTTGGAAGTCTGCTCGTACTGCGCATCTGGTGTAACATTTTCATCAGAAGAATTACGACTTGATAGAGGGATATATTTCTCAAACTTCACTGGATCACTGTGCCAATCTATTTCTATGGATGAGGCATCACTGGGACACTCCAATATGAAGTGACACTGTGTATATGGTATGTAGGGAGCCAGCTGTGGACGATATCCGTCCATCCTGAGTCTACAGCACAAGTCAGCTTGACGAAGGCAGCCACCACGTTGTGAATAGGAGATCAGTTGACCACACTGTCTGTGAATTGTGCCACGTAAACCACAAATCAGACACTTTGTTGCTTGGTGAAAAGGATTCTGTCACATATTATAACTGTGATGTGTGGTTTACGGCGAACTGATGTGAAGAACAACTAGTACCCTTGGACTCCACTTTCCACAGCTGCAAGCAACGCATGAACAACGACCCCTACATGCGAAGCCCTGTCTGCGCAGAAACTAAAAGAAAACCAAGGACTTCATCAAAGGTAAAACATTCCAACTGAACTCAATGCCATGTGTCAGTGACTTGGTGACTTTTAGTGTTTTGTGTTTACAGTTTTCCTTTGGGTAAGTGTGAATACAACTTTGTCATTCTTGTTAAGTCTGTAAGTTACAATGTCTCTCTCCTCGTTTAAACCTACATGCTCCGATGATGGTGCACCCACCAGTAAGTCTTCTTTTCCTTTGAGGATCCGCCGAAAACCCAAACGTGCAAATAAGACTCCCCCTCCCCAGCCCCTCCCAAATTATCCCATCTACTCCCGTCCAGCCTGCCATCTCTACTCCCTCCGATCGCCTTGTCCCATTCATAACTGTAATGACCATTGTTCTCCCACCGCACCCCACCCCACCCCACCCAACCCCACCCCACACCACCCCACCCCACCCCACCCCCACTGAGGAAAATGTTGACGCACTAAACTTTAATTATGTTCAACTGGCCATCACAAATATGCAAACGGCCTCAACAGATCAAATACACGGGCAATGAACTACTCAAACAATGTACTACATTGATTGTTGTCATGGCCCATAGATGAGAGTTAGTCAGGCTTAGAGCTTTTTGACCAGCCCTCGTATCAAGCAATGTTTTCATTGCTGATGCCCAATTCTTATCAACCAGCATAAGCATTCGTATGTTTATTTGCTTGATTCTATATCATGGATGTATGTATTTATTGTATTTAGTTAGTCGTATTGTACATTATTAAAGAAAAAAAAGTGGTCCACAGCAAATTCAATTCAAAATCCATGTCTATCTATAATAACTATTGCTCAGCAATTAGACAATGTTTGCAAACAATTCATTTTTGTAAGCACTCATATCGATTGTCCACTGTACATCATTCACAATCCTTATTGAGGACGTGAGGGCATGTCCTTTGTCACGACCGAAACGTATATTACATGCAGTATACCGTATATCAAGTGCAATATCTAGTATACCGGGGGCACGGGTGGCCCAGTCGTCCAAGGCGCCACGATTCGCTGTGCAGAGTTGCGTCCCTTGGGCACGCCAGAAACCTATGATTGGTGGGTTCGAATCCCTGTTCGCTCCGATTATGTTTCTAGGTTTGTCAGCACCATACCCGTGCTCTTGGATTTCACCAAAGTGGTAAACGTCAGAGACCTGCATCACTTCGGGCCTTTCTCCCACATAAAGCTGACATGCCGTGATATTACTGGAATACTGTTGAAAGCGGCGTTAAACCCAACTCACTCACCCACTCCAGTATACCACATGTACTATAAGAGTGTGTCGCATGCAGTGTGCGCCGGGCGATATCTCGCTGAACAGAAGCAGCTGAAGGTCGATGCATGTAAACCAGCGCAAGTTGTGCAGTTTGGAACTGGGAGTTGAGCACCCGGTGAAGAGCTCACAATAAAACATTGTTGACCCGCAGACGGACTTGTGTTATCAAGACGTATCCGGAGCAATATTCCAGCAGCTACAGCATGATAACACGTCCCCGGAGCGATATTCCAGCAGCTACGGCATGATAACACGTACCCGGAGCAATATTGCAGCAGCTACAGCATGATAACACGCATCCGGAGCAATCTCCCAGCAGCTACAGCATAATAACACGTACCCGGAGCAATATTCGAGCAGCTACAGCGTGATAACACGCATCCGGAGCAATCTCCCAGCAGCTACAGCATAATAACACGTACCCGGAGCAATATTCCAGCAGCTACAGCATGATAACACGTACCCGGAGCCATATTCCAGCAGCTACAGCATGATAATACGTACCCGGAGCAATATTCGAGCAGCTACAGCATGATTACACGCACCCGGAGCAACATTCCCGCAGCTACAGCATGATAACACGTACCCGGAGCGATATTCCAGCAGCTACAGCATGATAACACGTACCCGGAGCAACATTCCAGCAGCTACAGCATGATAACACGTACCCGGAGCGATATTCCAGCAGCTACAGCATGATAACACGCATCCGGAGCGATATTCCAGCAGCTACAGCATGATAACACGTACCCGGAGCAATATTCCAGCAGCTACAGCATGATAACACGTACCCGGAGCGATATTCCAGCAGCTACAGCATGATAATACGTACCCGGAGCAATATTCCAGCAGCTACAGCATGATAACACGCATCCGGAGCGATATTGCAGCAGCTACAGCATGATAACACGTACCCGGAGCCATATTCCAGCAGCTACAGCATGATAATATGTACCCGGAGCAATATTCCAGCAGCTACAGCATGATAACACGCATCCGGAGCGATATTGCAGCAGCTACAGCATGATAACACGCATCCGGAGCGATATTCCAGCAGCTACAGCATGATAACACGCATCCGGAGCGATATTCCAGCAGCTACAGCATGATAACACGTCCCCGGAGCAACATTCCAGCAGCTACAGCATGATAACACGTACCCGGAGCGATATTCCAGCAGCTACAGCATGATAATACGTACCCGGAGCAATATTCCAGCAGCTACAGCATGATAACACGTACCCGGAGCGATATTCTAGCAGCTACAGCATGATAACACGTATCCGGAGCGATATTCTAGCAGCTACAGCATGATAACACGTAGCCGGAGCGATATTCCAGCAGCTACAACATGATAACACGTACCCGGAGCGATATTCTAGCAGCTACAGCATGATAACACGTACCCGGAGCAACATTCCACGGCTACAGCATGATAACACGTAGCCGGAGCGATATTCCAGCAGCTACAACATGATAACACGTACCCGGAGCAACATTCCACGGCTACAGCATGATAACACGTACCCGGAGCGATATTCCAGCAGCTACAGCATGATAACACGTACCCGGACGAATATTCCAGCAGCTACAGCATGATAACACGTACCCGGAGCAATATTGCAGTAGCTACAGCATGATAACACGTATCCGGAGCGATATTCCAGCAGCTACAGCATGATAACACGTACCCGGAGCGATATTCCAGCATCTACAGCATGATAACACGTACCCGGAGCGATATTCCAGCATCTACAGCATGATAACACGTACCCGGAGCGATATTCCTGCAGCTACAGCATTTGTGGTCCGAGCATGCCCTTTCTATGTAGATTTTAAACAGCGTCGTAAGACTCTTGGCCAAAAGTTGTTAGATCAGGG